AATGTTTTATTAAAAATATTTTATCATCACAGGACTAAATAATATCCTCAACATTTTACGAACGTTGATTTGATAATGTTCCTCCTCTGTTATTATGGAACATTGTGTCAATGTTTTATTGAGAACATTGTATGATCTGTTATCTCAACAACATTCCCAAAACATCCACAAAATGTTACAGTTATAATGTTCTAGTTGTGTTAACATGTCACATTACAAGAACGTTTTATAAAAAACACTCCATCATCTCAGGCCTCAATAATATCCTCAAAACATTTTATGAACGTTGATTTGATAATGTTCCTCCTCTGTTATTATGGAACATTGTACCAATGTTTTATTGAGAACATTGTATGATCTGTTATCTCAACAACATTCCCAAAACATCCTCAAAATGTTACAGTTATAATGTTCTAGTTGTGTTAACATGTCACATTACAAGAACGTTTTATAAAAAACACTCCATCATCTCAGGCCTCAATAATATCCTCAAAACATTTTACGAACGTTGATTTGATAATGTTCCTCCTCTGTTATTATGGAACATTGTGTCAATGTTTTATTGAGAACATTGTATGATCTGTTATCTCAACAACATTCCCAAAACATCCTCAAAATGTTACAGTTATAATGTTCTAGTTGTGTTAACATGTCACATTACAAGAACGTTTTATAAAAAACACTCCATCATCTCAGGCCTCAATAATATCCTCAAAACATTTTATGAACGTTGATTTGATAATGTTCCTCCTCTGTTATTATGGAACATTGTGTCAATGTTTTATTGAGAACATTGTATGATCTGTTATCTCAACAACATTCCCAAAACATCCACAAAATGTTACAGTTATAATGTTCTAGTTGTGTTAACATGTCACATTACAAGAACGTTTTATAAAAAACACTCCATCATCTCAGGCCTCAATAATATCCTCAAAACATTTTATGAACGTTGATTTGATAATGTTCCTCCTCTGTTATTATGGAACATTGTGTCAATGTTTTATTGAGAACATTGTATGATCTGTTATCTCAACAACATTCCCAAAACATCCACAAAATGTTACAGTTATAATGTTCTAGTTGTGTTAACATGTCACATTACAAGAACGTTTTATAAAAAACACTCCATCATCTCAGGCCTCAATAATATCCTCAAAAAATTTTACGAACGTTGATTTGATAATGTTCCTCCTCTGTTATTATGGAACATTGTACCAATGTTTTATTGACAACATTGTATGATCTGTTATCTCAACAACATTCCCAAAACATCCTCAAAATGTTACAGTTAAAACGTTATATCTTAGTTTACATTTAACGTTATAGGAACATTATTTGAAATGAGAAAACATCCTTAAAACATTCTTTGAACATTACATTCAAATGTTTTCTTTAAAACATTAACCAAACTTGTAGGGAATGTTAGCCAAAGTTCTGAGAACGTTCCCTGCTAGCTGGGGCTTTTGCTCACGTGTCTGGAGCTTCTGAAGTTACAGTAAAACACAACTTGGGGGCGCTCAAACATAAAACGGTCTTGCCGAGCACATGTACGTAACGGTGAAGAAGATGCGCCAAGTAGCGTCTACACCATAGATATCCATAATAAAGGCTAGATGTCTCGTCCGCGCTGCTGGCCAATGGCCTTTATTATGGATATCTATGGTCTACACTGCCGGGAAGAAATAAGACGAGGAAGACGCGAGGCCAGATGAATGTAGAGCTGCTGGTCTCGTTGGTGTCGGAACATAAAGAACTATATGACAAACGCCACAGCGACTACAAAATAGGACTATTTCTGTTTTACATTAAGCGCCATCTTATGTCAGGGAATGAATTTGCATGTTCACTCGGCTCAACGTCAGCGAAAATCGCTTGGATGTGAACACAAAAAACGCGTTAAAAAACGCTGAAGAATAACGCGCGCCGATATTCATCCCGGTGTGTACGGGGCTTAAGGCTGGATACAATTTAAAACGGCTTGCCATATTAAAAAGCTCTCTTAATGTAATTCTTACTAGTAAAAACTGATTTAGAGAGCTCTGTAATTGTAATTGCTACTAGTACGAATTGAATTGTAAAGTTCTCTAATTGAACTCTTGCTAGTAAAAATGAAATTACAACGAGTAAGGCTGGATACAATTTAAGCTAAAACGGCTTCCCATAGTGCTTACACCACGGCCACGCACTTATACACTATTCATCACAATGGGTGATGAAACATTTGAAGAGTTTCATATGAAGATATGAAGAAGCCGTTGTGCTTCAACTTATAGCGATGTTAAGCCGACCTTGAATATCTTTCAGTGAGTCTGCTGTCACAGAAGGAGAAGTTGGTTCGTTTTGTAACCTGATCAAATCACTGGTATCTTCTTTAGAAACCTTGAGAAATTAACCAGTAGACAGCAGAGATACTGCTTATACATGGCCAATGAGAAGTACAAAACTGACAATAGTAAAATACTCTCATTTTAAAACACTCAAAATTCACCTATAACAGTTGAAAACATAAATTGTTAATCTTTCTATTTATTTTCTATTTTCTGTCAGTAGATTTTTGGAACTGTTACACTGTTAATGCTTATTTCAGTGATCATTTATCATTGGTTTTGTTGGATATTGTTTAGGTCTCCACCAGCACATTGGTTTGAAACTGTTCTGCATAAAGCGCATTAGCTGACTTGACAGAATATCGTATTTTTTGGGTACCTTCTATTTCCACAATGGCGGAAGACTTTGGAGAACTTCAGGTAATCATCCGACAAAGTTTCTAACATCCAACTCAAAGAACTTAGCAGTTTCCGTCTGACAACAGCTGATTTTTCTCCCTTTAAATCTTTGTACATTTATTTACTCATTTAATTTGACTCGCTGTTCAAAAGTCGGCCTTTCCACGGGGAAAATTCTCAGTTCTATCCGTCGCCAGTCCATACCTGATTAAAGTCCAGATAAAAGTACGTTTCATTTTTATTTTGAGTACATCTATATATGTTTCAACAGGGTTTTACATTTTAGAATAATCCGTAATTTACTCTCTTAAAGGAGAACTCCGGCGCAAAATGAACCTTTGGAACATTGGTACCTAGTCAACCGTTCTCTGAGATTTGTTTTCATGATAATCGAATGTAAAGAGTTTTATCTCTAAAAACTGTTTAGCGTATAACGCTAGTAATGGGGGCATATAATAAGTAAAAAGAAATCGCTAGTTAATACCACTAAAGCCTGGAACACACCAAGCCGACGCCGACGAACTAGCGCCGATGAAAGCCGACTGTGTTGTTGCGTCGCGTCGGGGTAAAAAGCTGCACTTGAACACACCGAGAGAACTACAGCCGACCGTCAGCTAGAATGCGCGTTCTGCGCCTGCGTGTAAATGAGACAACTGTCTATTTCTGCAGATATATTCTCTATATTCGTCATTCAAAAAGGGGAAACCGACGCTGTCGGCTGCAGATACACAAACCATAAACAAAGCAGTGCGTGCTTACCGTTTTTAATATCAATCCTGCTAAACACTTTCTTTATTCCACTCCGCTCGTGTTAATATTGAAATATTCGCCAAGGAACACCCAGGTAAGATGATGTAACATAAGAACAGCCTTCTATCTGTAGAGTTTTGACTTCTTTGCTCGCTGTTTTGCTATTATTCTCCTGCATTGACTCTTTCACTAAGCTGAACAGCCAATCAGAGTTCCCTCTTTCACCGACGGCCCGACGCCGATTCAACATGTCGAATCGGCCGAAACAAAGCCGACGAGGACCAATTTCAGCCGGCGGCACGGAACCGTGTGGAACACACCGAGGAAACTCAGTCGGCCGACGCACAAAAACTGCCTGACGGCCGACCGTCGGCTTGGTGTGTTCCAGGCTTAACAAGACTCAAAATAGCCCCACACGAACACAGTAACATAATGAGGGTCCCTACATGCAAACCGAAGCATTGAGAACTTTGTAAGTGTACAGACCGTTTAATAAGAAGATACTTTATGAAGACAGTCCACTTCGTGTATACAGACAGGAGCCATCTTTGGAAAACAGTCTCGACTAATCAAACCACGAACGCCATTCATACAGTTCAGCTCACTTAGCACGTCGTTCGTGGTTTGACTAGTCGAGACTGTTTTCCAAAGATGGCTCCTGTCTGTATACACGAAGTGGACTGTCTTTATCTTTATCTTCTTATTAAACGGTCTGTACACTTACAAAGTTCTCAATGCTTCGGTTTGCATGTAGGGACCCTCATTATGTTACTGTGTTCGTGTGGGGCTATTTTGAGCCTTGTTAGTGGTATTAACTAGCGATTTCTTTTTACTTATCAAATGCGCCCATTACTAGCATTATACGCTAAACAGTTTTTAGAGATAAAACTCTTTACATTCGATTATCATGAAAACAAATCTCAGAGAACGGTTGACTAGGTACCAATGTTTTATTAGACCAAAGGTTCATTTTGCGCCGGAGTTCTCCTTTAAGTTACCATTGTTTTTACATAAACTATTTTCCCAAATCATATGTGAAGTCCACACGAGTATTGCCTATTTAGTTGGTTAATGGTTACAATACACAAAAACAACATATTGCTTTGAAAGTACACTTTTATTGCTTCAAAATAACAGACAAAAGCATGCAGAAAAGCTTGAAGTCATTAAATCATTTTCAACACATTTGTATTTAATAGGACAATAGATTTTTGAGGCACGTGTCAAATTATTGTCATTATTATTATTTACGATAACTCAATAAAGCATGCAGAAGTCATGAAATCATTTCAACACATTTCTATTTAATAGGACAATAGAGGCACGTGTCAAATTATTATTTCAGATAATTCAATAAAATGTTTGGTTACAGGATGATGCCTTATTTATGGGGTTGCTTGAACATTTGAAATATTTTCCTCACTGAAAGCTGATGGGAATATGCTGATCGCCATATTATAGGAAACATCCACATGAATGCATAATAGTTGTGGATATTGTGAAGCGTTTGTAACCCCTGGT